TACTTGCCTAGCATACATGAGGGTGTGAATTCAATCCCCAGCACTACAGAAAGAAAAAAAGCAGGGGCAGGGGATGTGAAGAAAGAAACTTTTCTTTTTCTACCTAGCGTTGAGATTGCTTGCATGCCACCATTAGCCCAGGGTTGACTGTAGGCCATGCTTGTACAGAGGTCAAAGTACCTGGCCAGCAGTATATGCCCCATAAAAGGGATGCTCTCCTTATCCCTACCTTAAATGTGAAAAAATGAATTTAAAGAAGTGAAGTAGCTTCCCACGGGTCACACAGCTGGCAAATGTCAGAGAGAATTCTAATTCAGGTCTGATGGTCTCTGGAGTGCTTCGCTACTGATGAGTACTTTTAAATAGGTCACATCTCATTAATGGATCATGAAATCAATTAGTGATTTGTGCTATCTTTTCAAGTGAACAAGATAGAATAGCAACTATCTATTGGCACAAAAATAGACATGTGGGTCAATGAAACAACAGATGATGCAGAAACAACCCAGGACACATGCAGCTATTTGATCTTTGACAAAAGAGCTAAGACATACTGGGGAAAGGATTGCTTTTATAACAAATAATGCTGGGAAAATTGGCTGTCCACATGCAGAAGATTAAATCAATATCAACATATCTCACTATCTATTAAACTAAAATCAAAGTAGATCAAAGACCCAAATATTTAAATAGAAACAACTGCTGAAATATAAAATAGGTAAAACTCTTGAAGACATAGGCATAGACAAGGACTTTCTCAACAGAATCCCAATTATATAAGAAATAGTACCAAAAATCAACGATTAGGATTACATAAAATTTAAAATTTTCTACACAGAAAAGGAACCAACCCAAAGAGTAAATAAACAACCAACAGAATGTTGGAAAAAAAAATTGCCAACTATCCCTAGACAGAGGACTAATATCTAGAATTCATAATGAACTCAAAGCAATTAGATTCTCCCTTAAAAAGACCCACTTCCAAAGTGGACAACTGAAATGAGTAGATACTTTTCAGAAAAAGTACAAATAGCCAACACAAAAATGAAAAAATTTTCGATATCTGTGACCATCAAAAATGCAAATCAAAACAACACTGTGATTCCATTTTATTCCAGAAAGAACTGCCATTATTAGAAGCCTGTTAACTGTAATAAATCAGAAAAACAAGCTTAAGTATCACATGGTTTTTCTTACATAAGAATCCCAAAATATAAATAAACAGAAAAAGTAAATGATGAGAAATAGGGAGGTAGATCTTTTGCAAAAGGGAAGGGACTAAGAAATAGAGGGAAGGGGTAAGGGAAAGGAAAGGGATTTTTAAAAAAATAGTTAAGGGTGGGAGTGCAGACTGGTGCAACCACTATGGAAATCAATATGGAGATACCTCAAAGAGCTGGGACAATTGACCCAGCCATCCCTCTACTGGGTATCTTTCCAAAAGAATTAAAAGAATAATAGCACAGTGACATATGTGCACCTGTTTATAGCAGCACAGTTTGTAATAGCTAAAACATGGAAACAGCCTGTTTGCCCATCAGTTGGAAACTGGATAAAGAAGATGTGGTTTTTCTTTTCTTTTCTTTTCTTTTTTTTTCCACTTTAATTGAATTTATTGGTACATTTTAGGGATACAGTACAGTTACATTCATTGTTGGGATCTTGTACCTCTACATGACAAGTCTTGGTTCTTCTCATTTTTTCCCCTTGTCCCTTCACCCCCTCCTCCTCTCCCCATCTACAACCACTTTATTTCCATCTTTTCATTATCTCACATTTTTTCTTTTCCCTTTTTACCCTTCCCCTACCAGTCCCACCTTCCCTGCACCTTTAGCTCCTTTCTTCCCATTTCTCAATGTCAGTAATCTTATTAGGATCTTCTGTATTATTGCAGATTATTCACACCAGAGAAACTATTCGATATTTACACATGTGTGCCTTATTTATTTCACTTAGGAGTATATGTTCAATATGTATCCATTTTCCTATGAATGAATCTATCTTCTCATTCTTTATGGCTGAGTAATATTCCATTTAAGATGTGGTTTTTCTATTGAATGGAATACTACTCAGCCATAAAGAATGAGAAATTAGAGTCATTCATAGGAAAATGGATACACTTTGAGGATATACTGCTAAGTGAAATAAATAAGTCACACATGTGTAAATACGGAATAGTTTCTCTGGTGTCAAAAACTATAATAGTACATAAGATCCTAATGAGATAATTAACAATGTGAAATAAGAATAAAGGTGTAGGGGAAGTGGGAAGGGTAGGAGAAAGGGAATAAGGGAAAAGAAAAAAATATGAGAAAATGAAAAAATGGAAATAAAGTGTAAATGGGGAGGGGAGGAGGGGGTGAAGGGAGGGCAGGGATGAGGGGAAAAAAATGAGAACCAAGACCTGTCATGTAAAGGTACAAGATCCCAGTAATGAATGTAACTGTACTGTATACCTAGAATGTGCCAATAAAAATAAAAAAATAAAAAATAGTTAAGGTCTGGGAATTTAGCTCCATGGCACCACACCTGCCTCACAAGTACAAGGTCCTGAGTTCAATCCCAGGAACAACAACAACAGCAACAACAAAAAAAAACAGTTAAGATGATGAGTTACATAAGTGTACCAATTCTCCATGAGGAATGTAATCATTATATATTCTGAACATGCACCAATAAAAAATAAAAAATAATAACAATGATCAGAGTGAACCCCAGGCAGTAAGCAGTAAGCAATATTTCAAGAGATGACTTTCACTGAAGGGGTTGTGTGAGCATGTGAATGTGTTTATGAGTAAGTGAGGGGGAATGTGGTTGTTTTGGGATATGTATATGGGCGTGGATGGATGGGAGGTTGGGTAAGTATATGTTTATGTAGTATTGTGGTATGAGTTTTATTTCTAACTATGCCTTACTATGTTTTAAAATCTCAAAGCTACCACCCTGAGGCATACTGACTCTCCTTCATTCATGTTTCAATCACAAGAGGACAATTTGTTTTCTAAAATCTGCCTTCTTAGAAATCTCACCAAGGAGGAGGTTGATATTTTAAAATCTGTAGCTCAGTATGCCTCTCCTTGTGTGAATAGCCTTAATAAGCCAACACCCAGAGCCACACAGCAGAGAAAATCTTCCTAAAATAGTCAAGACTTGACTAGTCTTATGCCTGGTTGCTGATAGTAAATCATTCATCTGCCACTGCAGTGAGCACAGAGAAAATATTTTGTTTTTGAAAGAACCAAAAAGCTATGGGCAGAAAAGCATGGTAAAGCTGCACTCTGACTTGGTCTCCTCAGTTGGGAAAGGCCTGGAAGGGGTCTCAGCAGGAACCCACTCCCCCATCCGCGATGCCCCACACTGTCCGGCTGCCCCAGGGAGAAGACAAGCTGTTCTGCTTTTATGTGTTGGCTGGATCTCCAGAGTCATCCTTATGAAATGACTAAAGTGCAAATAATCTCTAAGGATATCACAAAAGTTTAACATTCACTTGTAATTCAGATAGTTTTGAAACCCAAATTCAAACTCCTGTCCTTTGACAAATTGTCAGTCAAAGGAGACCAACACACTGTGGGAGATTCTCCAGCGGTCTCTAGTGAAGAATGCTCACAACAAGGGAGCACTTAATTCAATGCCCAGGGAATACAGGGGAATTTTTTACCCAAACCAAAGTAGAAGCAACTCCAAGTTCAATTCTTAAACTCTCCAACTTTACATAAATATCATAGTACCGACTGGCATGGTTGCCATTAACCTTCAATACAACAATTACTAACTACTTAGCACAAAGGAGATGACACACCATGGAGGTTTGTTCTCTTCCTTCTGCTGTGTTAAGAAGACATCATTCCCTGCTCCAGCCCAAAGACATTCCCAGTCACACCAGCCTTCAACAGCACATTAGGAACACTTGACCAACATTTCTCTCAGTGAAACATAATGACCAGATACCATTCCTGTGTCTGCCCTCTCCTTCATCCATTTCTGTGAAGTTTCCACTTGGACTCCTTTCTTAAAGTGCATTCTTTCATAAATTTACTCCTCTATTTATTTTCTGGAAAGTACTCTCTCAACAATCTGTAACTGTTTGTCCTTCCTAGTCAAAAATAAAGTACTTCTGCAATTTTTCATTATATTTTGTTCCTGCACTTTATATTTAACATGGCAATGGTTCAGGCCATGTTGTGCTTATGTTACATTTTCTGCATGAGAAAGATGTTTTCATCTCATCTTCATGGAAGACTTACATTCTTTGAAATGCAGGTTCCAGGCTCAGTTGACATCCTCAAAGCATCATGGTTAAGCATGGGACTTGTTGTCAGAGCACTGAGTACAACCCTCTCTGTGTCACTTTCTGCATGATCAACTATAGGCAAGATATTTAACTTCCACTATCCTGAAATATGAAGAATAATGTTAACTAATGGTAGCTTGGGTTAACTAAGATAACTACTGTGTAACGTGCCTGGCACACACAGTAAACTCAATGAGTGTTAATGATCACTGCTTAATATTATTGCATCTTGTTTTAATGAGTTCAGTATTTCTCTATAACACACAAACAGCCCTATTACAGATATATATAGATATATATATATATATATATATATATTCTAAGTCACTTTAAATCTTAATTGTAAGAAATTAAAATAATATGTAAATAAATGATATGATCCTATTTACTTGACATTTTACCTTTCCATTTCCAAGAGTGTCCAACTCCTTGATTTCTTGTAAAAATAAAGCAATACCTTGGCTTTGTTTGCTATTATTTTGCCAAAGTGTTATTTCAAAATGAACCATGATGCCATTCTTGGTATAGCTGGTGTTAGGTCTAACATTGGTTAGTTCATATGTTACAATTCAGAAAATTATTTGAAGTGAACAGAAAGGATCAATTCATAGGGGTCTTATAAAAATTAAATGGAACATTGTGGAAAGGGCTTGGCCATGTCCATACTTAATTTCTTTTGCCTGAGGTCTTGGTCCTCCCTTTCAAATAGATGCTGCTCTGACTGAAAGGAATATGATCATTCCTTTGTGCCAAAGAGGATATTTTCCCTGTGGGAACCTGTCCAAGTGCCTCCCCCGAGCTTTTCACTGTGACGGTGTGGATGACTGTGGGAACGGTGCTGACGAGAAGAACTGTGGTAAGTCCCCAACTCTGCTCCCCAGGACCCCACTTGAAATGTGTAGCTAGTCACAGATTAGACCCTAAATATCAGATATTCTGATGTGAAAGAATTCTGCATGTTTTCTACCTTACAGACCTAGGGTGTCCCTTTGTAATGCAAGGGCTCTCCAATCGATTGCTGAAAATGACAAATTTGGATACATAGAGCTTGTTTAATAAGAAATATAGTACTGTCAAATGTTAATAGTTCATAAATATTGAAATTATTTATTTAAATCTGCTTGGATATTCCTATTTTAATTTTAAGAAGCTTTCTATGTCTACTTTAAATGGTGAGTAATTTGGTTGAGCTGTAAGAATAGCCAAACAAATGTGAACAGGCTCACTTAAGAACTGATTGAACAGACCTATATTAAGTGCCAACTATGTGCCAGGAGCTCCCTCAAATTATTGGAACACAGTAGGCTCAAGGGAGACAAGGGTCTTGACCTTATGGAGCTCACACAGACAATATGAACTAAGAAGACTACAATTCTGTGTGTAAGTTAGTACACAGAGAGTAGCAGCTACATACATGGAGAAAATAAAACTATAATGAGATTAGAAATGACCTGGAGGGAAGAACACTTTAAGAATGCAAGCAGAAAAAAACATTTTTCGGATGATGGCATTTGAACTAAGAACTAAATGAAAACAAAAGGGAAGAGGCCATGATATGCTGGAGAATTTCAGGAAAAGGAAATAGCATGGGCAAAAACCGAGGCTGAATGAATGATATGTTTGAAAGGTTTTTTAAAACGGCTTCAGTAAACAACGATATAGAGAGTTATCAGGTACACAGGGGCCAAATTACATATAGTCATATGGGCCAATTTTGTGTCTCTCTACTGAAACTGTACATATTCTGTAACTTATTTTTGAGTGAAAGAAACTGATCCCAGAGAGGTCGAAATGTCTAGCCAGTCACAGATTAGACCCTAAATACCAGATATTCTGAATGTGAAAGAATTCTACACGTTTTCTACCACACAGAGTTTTCTGTCTTTGCCACTGCCCAGCCAGCAATCAGAGTGGAGAAGCAATGCCTACGTGTGCCATGCACATGTCTGGTTACTCGTGCATGCTTCCCTGGAATGAAAATTATCTCTGCCAACTTTCCCGTGTGCCCCCCTACGCATCCTTAAAGATTCTGCTCAGGTGTCCCTTCCTTCAAGAGGGCTTCCCTGGCCCTGACACTTCATCACCAGTCTAGGATGGTGTTGCTCTAGCCCCCTGGGTGCATCTCTACAACCACATCACATAGACTGCCTTAGCTTTTCACTGTGTTTCTTTTCCTAGACATGAACACCTTGAGAATCTTGGAGAGAGCCCTGCATCTTATTTGTTTTGTTACCATACGAGCCTGGAGTAGTAGAGAACACAGCAGGCACTCAGTCTGTTTTCAGTTCTCTGGATCCAGTGAACAAGCCACTCAAAGATATTCCTTCTTTGTTGATTGGGAATTGGGAACCATGGGTGCTTAGCTGCTTCATGAAGATGTTCTGAACTCAACTTAAATCATGTTGTGGAGGAGACTGTAACACAAAGTCATCATAGTAGAATTGTTGAGGGCATTATATAGGAATAAAAATAAATGTTCCAGAGACCAAAGGAGCTTATAGGCAATTACTTAAATTCTTGGATCTGTGTGAACTTCAGTATCATACATTATGGTACAAATGTTATTGTTTTCATAGTATATGCCAAAGTAATGATGCTTCAAAGTTCACAAAAGGGGAACTTGGCAAACAGGGAGAACATATTCACATGTGACAGATTTGACATTAACATATGACAAACTGAGGAAATGTTATTCTTCTCAACAAGATTCAATCCCTTTTATTAAAAAGCACTTTGTTTTAGCCTCATAAAAAGGTCATATGGCTAGGGGCAGAGCATGTGCTTAACATTCACAAGACCCTGCTTTCAATCTCCAGCACTAAGACAAAACAAAAGGCATAAAATTGACATAAATTATGTCATAACTCATTGCATCTATCAATCATATTTCTACATATATTTTGGAGCAGTGTACATATGCCAAAATAAAATTCAGATTATAGTTTCTTCTGAGGTCCTCAAAATTAAGATCAAATGTTTAAAATATCAATGCTAAAACAGGTGACTTTTTAAGACATTTGTAATTATTTAAAATAATTACATATTTTCATTATATAGTCTATAATATATACATTTGAAATATCTGTAGTAATTAAAGAATGGAATACCATCAATTTCTGCTTAGCTTTTCCCCTTTACTGTCTACATATTTAAAATATCAAGCATTTTAAATAAAATTTTAAATTTTATTTCATTACTAGATTTGTATACTTTGTTTTATAATATGATATATGATTTCTAGAATAACTGACACGTCTTAATCACCATTTTGCAGGTGACACTAGTGGATGGGCCACCATATTTGGCACAGTTCATGGAAATGTTAATACTGTGACATTAACACAGGAGTGCTGTAAGTGGATTTGGTTCAAAGACAGTGTCAGCTTTGTGAAAAGCATGATTCAATTTGTGGTGCATGGATTTATATGAACATAGCAGCCTGCCCTTTTGTCTGGTTTTACTGTCCACATGGTTTCAGTTACCTGCAGCCAACCACAGTCAAAATATTAAATGACAGGCTGGGAATAGAGCTCAGTGGCAGAGCACTTGTCTAGCATGTGCAAGCCCCATGTTCAATCCCTAGCACCACAAAAGCAATGAACAAATGAATGAATGAATGAATGAATACATTAGATGAATATTTTGAGAAAGGGAGACCACATTCACCTAACTTTTATTACAGCATATTGTTATAATTGTTTTATTGTTAGTTTTCATTAATCTCTCACTGGCCTAATTTACAAATTAAACCTTATCATGTATAGAAAAAAAGATAGTGTACATAGGATTTGGTACCCATTGTAGTCTTAAACATCCACTCCGGGTCTTAGAATACATTCCTTATGAATAAGAGAGGACTACCATAGTATGATAAATTCCCTTCAGAATTTCAATTTTAGTTCAATTTGTTTCATTGGCCAGTGGGTCTATAGTCTGTCTATGAGAGTAAAAAACATACAAGAAAATGAAAATCTCTATTCATGCCACTTTCATGTATTAGTCTATGATTGAAAAAATATATATATTCAATAATTGTGATAAATATTGAGGTTCTTAGTCCCTTTAATTCTTTATTAATATTGTACACCAACAACTTTCTAGCCCTTTAGGCACTGAAAGTACCATAACTAAAATGTGGAATGGAACCACAAATACCTCACCACATAGGAATCTTTGCAGAAGCAATGATTATTCAGCACTTCACAAGAGAATGTGGAAGCCTAGTAGAATAATGATGGATCTGCTAGGGCTGGGGAAGTACTCCCAGAGAAGATGTCATTTGAGATGGATTTCAAGTCCTTGAATGGAAAAAAAGATAGTAGGCAATGAGATAGGCTAAGGAGCAAGATTAGCAAAATACAAGGGCAGAAGGCTCAGAGCATGTTTCACAATGCCTTTGCACACCCGCTCTGAGATTCTGAGAGGTAGAGGTCGATGAAACAGGAACTGAGCTCAGAAGGCTGGTGCCAGCCCAAAAAGGGTTTGGACGTATTCTTTGGAATTTGGCCTCCATCTTATAGATAGAATTAGGCTGATGTATATTTGCACATGTGTACAGTTAAGTAGATGAATGTACAATTACATATACACAGTGGTGTGTTTATAATATATATGTTTGCATGTATGTATCATAGTACATTGACAGTATGCAGTCAGTCCTCTGAATCCACAAATTCTACAAGTGTAGTTTCAACCAATCCCTAATAAAAAATATTCTGAGGTTTTTATTCCACTTGTACAGTTTTTTTCTAGCCATTGTTTCTTCAACAATATACTATAGGAACTATTTACCTAGCATTTATGTGGTACTTTGTATTATAAGTAATTCAGAGATTATTTAAAGTAAGAGAGGATGTGTATAGGTTCTATGCAAATACTGCCCTATTCTATATAAGGGAGCTGAATCAGTGCCCTCAGACACCAAGAGGTGACTATATCATGTACTCTATAACTCACTTATCAAATATTTAATCATTCCCAAATATGTGATATATAAAAATAAAAGTATATAATTAAAATTCTAATCTTTTATTCCTGAAACAAAGGAGTGGTTCTGCATGTATGAATTCCATTTCTTTCCACACTTTGTACTCAGTGGGCCATCACCAAAGTCATAGACCTCTGTGTTTGATTTGGATTGAGTTTTTATTTTGTTTATATTGTGTTTGATTTTTTAACAAAGAGGGAGAGCACATGATTTGAAGTGGATGTAAGGAAAATCCTTCCATCAAAATTGCAGAATTTACTCGAGCAGTACCTCTGGCTGGAACAATTGTATCTGAGAGTGTTTGCTGACATTTTCAGTTGTCATAGCTGTTGGAGGGAGATGTGCTGCTGGCATCTAGTTCATAGAGGCCAGAGATGCTACTGAGCATACTACAGTGCACATGACCGATCTCACAACAAAGAATGATCAAGGACCAAATGTCTGTCACACTGATTGAGCAAAAGGCATGGTGAGGATGCAGATGACTATGTTTATCTCCAGAATCTGAGACCAGAAAATGTCTTCAGAAACAATGAGGTTGCCAAAGATGCAAGAGGCTACAGATCTTAGAGGCATAGCTTCTGGCTTGCAAGAAAAGGAGGGTGAAGAATTATGCCCACATTTCTTGTTTTAGGCAACATACCCAGCTTGACCATATGAAAATTCTTCTGTTGGCAAATAAAAGTTTCTGACCACAGGTCAATTTAATTATATATCCACGATGTTCTCAATATCAGTAAGACCTGAGATAGTAATATAATATTATCTTTAGAGAGTAGAGCTAATTAGCATCTACCTAATTACCTAGAAGAGATAATTAGCATGTACCTAGTATGGACAACAAAAAGTATTTTCCAAAACTAAAAGCATCTTTAGCATTACATAGATACTCAATAAGATATGTGCTGTCTTTACTACTAAAATTCATGTTTAAGATAACTTTGGGTTTAAAGTGATCTAAAAGAAGTTAGGCAACTGGAAAGAACATAATCATATTATAATAATATAAATTTGAAAATAACTCTCACTTTTTTAACTGCATCAAATCAAACAACCAAAGGGTCAGTGGAGAAATAAGATTCCAGAAATATTCTCTCATAACATATGTGTGCACATATATAAATACACAAACACACACACAAGCACTCACTCACATGCACACAAATAATTGTCCTGTGGGCAAGTTTGGCCTGTTTTGTAATACATTTTTTGCTCCTTTATATGCCATTATTTTAGTAATTCTGTAAACTCTGAGAACTTTTTCTTTCCTCTGAATGCTTCAGATAGATGAATCTTTGCTTTTCTCAGCTCTATAGCTTCTCTACAACTTTTATTTACCACTTTTAACTTCACAGTAATGAAAACCAAAAAACCAAACAATGAAACTAGGTATAACAAGATTGATTTTAATAAAGTAGAGCAGTAGCTACTATAGAATCTACTCTAACTCTTCTCACAGCTCTAAGTTTGAAAGGGGGAAAAAAACATTAAATTTTAATGAACAAACATTAAATTAGCACCTACTTTGAGCTACTGAATTGAATTGACCCAATACTTATCATTAACATTAATTCAGTCCTACTATTTTTCATTGAAGAAAACTCGATCTTGATTTGCCATATGATTTTTATCACACTTAAATGTATTATAGTTTCTTTTTCCTCACCTGTTAAATGTTTCTGAAAAGACCACGAGAAGCAAGAACTGAGATGACCCTATTAGTCTAGACTTAAATAAAAGGTAATTCTTATTATTTGTTTTTACTGCGAGCTAAAGAATACCATCTAAGAATTGCAAATGCTATAAATTTGATGAAAAGAAGACAATGTTTGTTATTATTGTCATAATTAAGGAAATGTATATTTTCTAGTAACATCTTCCTCTTTTATTCCTAGTTTTAACTCAGTATCCGCAACTCTGTGATTGCAAAGAAACTGAACTGGAATGTGTAAATGCTGGCCTAAAGTCTGTGCCTACAATTTCCTCCAATGTGACATTACTGTGAGTAGAATATGTATGGATGAGATTTGTCCCTAGAGTCACATAAAAACCAAAGAAAATCCCACAGTGCTTCTGTGGAGTTTCATTAACAAAATAATCAAATTTTCACTTAAAACAGACACCAAATAGTTCTGTATGTTTCTCCAGGAAAGTAAAAATGTATTTAAACATAATACATTAGCTTAGCTCCAATGTTCAGCTCACAAATGTCTGTGATCTGTGACTCATAATTCACAGTTTGTTACTATATAATATATTTCTGTTACTTATTCACCTTATATAAATGTTTAAAAGGAAACACATTTGCTTACTCCACCTCATTGTTAATAACTGATCCAAGACTACAAAGTATAAAAGACCCATGCACCCTCTTCCTTTCACCTAAAAATGTTTAAGAGCCTCAGGAATTTACAGTCCTTTCATTATATATGAGTTGGTTAGGAACTGCAGTTGCTTTGGTTTTGTTGTTGTTGTTGTTTAACTTATCTATAAAATGAAAAAAAAATGGTAAATTACCAGAAACTCTGTAGTCTATTATATTCTAAATTCATCAGGTACTTGCAAACTGCAGTCATTAGATTCATGGACCATATATCTAATTGTGATACCATAAGATTATAAAAGCACTGAAAAATTCCTTTGCCTAGTGGCACTGTTGCCATCATAATGTTTTAACACAACTATTACTCACATGTTTGGGATGATGCTGGTATAAACAAACTTTCTGCGTGGCCAATTATATAGAAGTGTAACATACACAATTATGCATAGTATATAACACTTGATCAATATAATGAATGATTACATTGCTAGTTTAAGTATTTACTATACATACTTATAAAGATCAATTTTGAGTGTACTCCTTCTTCTTAAAATAAATTACCACAAAGTAGTATGCTGTGTTACACCTAATGCATCTCCTTTTTGTAAGTATACCCTATGATGATCACACAATGACAAAATTTTCTTATAGTATATTTCTCAGAATATGTCCTATCAGTAAACATGGCATGACTGTACCTGCACTTCTCTGTATAAACTTCTTGGTCTCCTCTGAAAGATTTTCAGTAACATCATGCTAAAAAATGTGTTAATTATTACAAAATATTCTTTTCCTAAGCATACAGCTTCTAGGGAAGTCTTGTTTGTCATTAAAAATCCATAATAAAGTATTTTCCATGTTATTTTAGGTCTCTTAAAAGAAACAAAATCCACAGTCTGCCAGATAAAATTTTCATCAAATACACAGAACTTAAAAAAATGTAAGTAGCTATTAATAATGTATTTATGAGAAAACTCTTGTGATGTTTTAGTATGTTTTTGCTCTAAAAATAAAGTAGAAATTTTTATCTGTATCACTAAATTTATGCTTTTAAATTTAATTGATATTCAAAAGTAAAGCATTTAAAAATATGTTATCATCCCATTTCATCATTTGAAGAGGCTGAATTGATTTTATTTAAAGTTTTTCAAAGAGTAAATGTAGAGTTGAGATAAAAATACTTCAATAGAAAAATACGTAGTTCCTTGTTTTAACTTACCTTTTTTTAGAAAACAATATTGCAGATTCAGAGGCACTAAATGTACTTTGCAATTTGGAAATGGACTGAAAGCATAGATAAGAACAATCGGCTCATTTAAAACACATAATGATAGGATACAGACTGCCTCCCAGGATACTGAGTACAAAACCACAGTAATAATACAGTCAGTGATATTAGCATATCTGAGAAAAGATAAAGTACATAAATAGCACATCAGCAGCAGATAAGAAGTGGTATTCCATAGAAGATGTTTCCAATATCATTCAAAAAAGATGACACTGATATGGGAAACACAAGCCGTAGAGATGGTCTCTGTTAGAGAGCAGAGATGAAATAATCTCCACCACAATTTTCCTGAACTCTCTTTTTTATATTAAGTTTATTGGTGCATTTTAGTTATACAATACAGTTATTACCATCACTAGGATTTTGTAACTTTACATGATGTACCCTGGTTCTTATTTTACTGTCCATATGCATCTTCTTTGGTTCCTAAAGCAATTTTATGATGACTAATTTATCATCTTTATAACAATGTGTTTAAAAAGTTGCACTGGATTGGCAGTAAGAACATTCCTGTCAGTGGAGTGAGATACTTCCTATTTGTATTGGCAAATTGAAAGTATACAGATTCGGTATATAAAGAATCCAGTGAGACTCCAAAAGTACCATTAGTTTAGATAGCAAAAGCAGCAAAATAGTGCTACACATATTGGAAGGCCCATAGCAATGCCACCAACTCATTGTTTTATCCTTCAGCATACAGCATAGAAGTTTCTAGGGCTGTAAAGTTTGTTAAAAATCCAGGCACAAAAATGATCTGAGTCTTTGCTGCTACTGGACAAACACATTTGGATGCAAACATTATTGTGTTTATAAGCTTTTCATCACTGTTACAGATCAATTTAAACCTAAAAATATAGTTTGGCTCATGGTTTCATAAGTTTCAGTCCATGATCAGCTGGCTTAATGTTTCTGGGCATGAAGAGAGGTAGTAACCTCATGGCAAAAGGGTAACCAGGAAGCAGAAAGAAAGTGTGTGAACATGGCACAGACAAAGGACCAGGAGACAAGTTATACCCTTCAAAGGTACCCCCACACACACCTATTTCCTCCAAGCAGGACTCACCTCCTGGAGGTGGGTCCATTTAATTAACTTATCAGTGGTGTAATTCATTGATGAAATTAACACCTTTATGATTCAATCTCTAGTCTCCATCTCTGAACATTGATGTATTGGGAATTAAACCCTCAATACTGTACATGAGTCCTTGATTGTTGCCTCTGTAACCCAGCTTCTGTCAACACCTCCTGCTCCAAATGAGAGTGTGTGGTCATGTCATTGTCACAATGGAGAAGCTACATATTGGCTCTGGGCTTCTAACTCCTCTAGAGAAGAAATCCTAAGCACAATGATTCTAATTTTCCTAGAAATCCTTAAAATCACAGCATGGTCATTCTTTGAATCAAGAATGTTCTTGTATTTCTAGAGTAATGCTAGTTTGAGAAAAACAAAATAGCACTAGCATTAAAAAAGGAAAAATAGTCTTGTTTTAGAGTGGCTGCTTAAATTCTGTGTTAGCCTACCTTCACTATAACAAATACCTGAGATAATAAATTATACAAAGAAAAGGTTTAACTTGGCTCAAAGTTCTTGAGGTTTCAGTTGCTTTGGGCCTATGATAGGGCACAGATAATGGATAGCTGTGCAGGGAGGAGCAAAGGGTCTCACCTCTGGCCAAAAACAAAAGAGAATGAGGAAAATGAAGGAGCTGGAGTCCTGTCATCCCCTTCATGAAGAATTTTCCACTATGCCCCACCTCTTAAAAAGTTTCCACCAGTGCCCAATGAATCCAAGCTGAGCTTCAACTTATGGGCTTTGGGGGATATGTAAGATCCAGTTAGCAAAGTGCATCGTCTAGTGTGATAGAAGCTGTAAGAATTTCTAATTAGATCTTCTACAAGATAACTAAAGTCTATAATGGTTAACTCACTACGAGATCTACAACTAGATTGTGGAAGAGTCAGAATTACAGCCCAGATCTTCTTGTGTTCAAGGAACTGCATTTTGTTTTTACTTATTGGTGTTTTTTTTGGGGGGGAAGGTATTTGGGTTTTTATTTTCTTTTTGTTTTCTGGGTTTTGCTTTTCATTGTACAAGGTATTGAAACTAGGGCCTTCTCACCAAGATACCACCCAGCCATTTTCTTATGTTATTTTGACAAGGTCTCATTAAGTCAATAAGTTGTGAAAGCTGGGTTCAAGTTTGTGATCCTCATGCCTCATCCTCAAGCAGTGCTAATTATATCAAAACAACAACAACAGCAACAAAAACAAGCTAGGTATTGATTATAAGGCAGACCTGCAATCCTAGCATTCTGGGATTGAACTCCAAGTAAATGTGAAGTCTGCTCTGTCCAAGAAAATTTTGACACCACATCCCAACCTGAATATCAGCCATTAGAGGCTCTCTACATGGAAACTGGTGTTTGATGCTTTCTAGGCAACTTAATTCTCTCATAGAGAAGAGATTATAAGACCCATATCTATAAACACTAATTAGGTGTATATTATATACAAAAATATAGCACCAAGAATGATTCATAACTCCATACATTTAGATTATTACTTTTTAAAGTTTATAAGGATGATCATTATTTGAGATTTTTTACTTACTCTTTGATCCTCAAAATCAGTGAGGTGAGGCAGGAATGGGGAGCCCACTCTTGCAGAAAAGAGGTTGTTTGTCCAAAGTCAGCCAGCTGACTGGAATCTTCTGACTATGTTTCTTGGGAAGCTTGCCCACATGATCCAGCATCAATATTGTTACCATCAATGAAACCATCCAATAGCTAAACTTCAATTTGAAAGTAATTCAAATTTTTTGCAAACATGACTCAAATATCCAAAACGGCCCAGTAATGCTTAAGTCTCCTTTGTTCTCCATCCCTTTCCCCTCACTTCTCAGCCCATTCTTCCTCAAACTCCCCCACCAAAAAAATCTCTCTAAGCCCTAGTCCCACCCAATGTCTTTCTTATCCTACCATTCTTCCCAATTCTTTCCAATTCTGCTTACAGCAGCCCAAATAACCAACACAATTAAAAACCAAACCATTCCCAGGAACTGGTGTTAGAAGAAAGGAGCCAGAAGAGCATCAATAAGAGCTCTACGTAGCAGATCACAAAAGAGCAGAAACTTACAATATCCACATGTTCATTTATTCTTTCAAAAATATTTATGGAAACCTACAGATGCAAGATACCAAGGAAACAGCAGTAAACAATATATGTGAAAATGCCTCTCCTTATAGACATTGAATTTCAAAAAAGAAAGGCTGTCAATAAACAATAAATAAACTGTGGGTGTTGTGCAATGGTAGATTTGGGAGCACCTAAAAAGACCCCAGGTTCAATCCTCAGCACTGCAAATTTTTTAAATGTATATAAATATTTAGACAGTTATTAGGGCTGTGGAGAAAAGTAAATCAGAAAAAGGATTAGGAAGTGTTGACCAAGTGGAATTTCAACACTATGCTAATACATTTTATCCACATTACCAATGCCCAAGTTATCTCTAAAGCTGTACAATTCCAAATTCCATGCCATCTGTATCACTGTTAAGTGATGTGGTCCTTCCTGTATTTGAACACTTAGCCCTTCAGCAGTAGTTGTGGATCTTTAAATGTATCACTAATCCATTTCACCCTGTTAGATTATTTTCTTATTATGTGGTAAAGATCTTTTTGCATCATCCAGCATTTTCACTATTCCTCCTAGATTTATGTCACCTACAAATAAGATGAACCATATTTATCCAAGTCATGAAGTAAAATATTAAAGAAGGCAATAGCCCTAAATTGTCTTCCCATATTCCTTTATAATCATCTTTCAGATAAGAATTATCTGGCTATTTTATCCATTAAAAAATCATAAACCATTTGATCACTGCTTGATAGACATAATAGTATCTAGACAGAAACAGGAGTTGATGGGGCATATGCTAGAGAGGTTGTTGAATCATAACTGTAGAGGCTAGACTGTTTTGTCTGGTCAAGTTAATCTGCATCCCCGGTCTTTTGTGAATTGCCTTGTTCAGTTTCTCTTTGAGATATACTCAAAGCAGCATTGTACTAGGCTATTCTATGAGTGTAGCAGACCTTCATGAAGCTTACTTCTCCCATTTCTGGAAAGTCAAAATAATACTAACCATCTTTAATTTTACAGCTACTCCTTTTTGCTCCAGATTCCTCAGTAAATGATCATGATTTGATGTTCTCATTATTAATGTCTCTCAATATCTTGGATAAACTGCAAATCAGAGAAATTTGTTCCATTTTGGTTAACATATTATATCATTTTAAGCTTTCTCTGTCCCTGCCCTATATGCTTTTAGTTCACTTTAATCCTGAGACTATCTTTTTTGAGAAGATAGGAAGAAAGTAGAAATTAGGAAATAAGTTTGTTTCTCTACATCAGTGATCACAAAACTTTTAGAAACCAAGAGCCCAAACTTCAACCCCAAACCCACTTATTTATCACAACAGTGCAAATAAACCTGAGTACTGAGGTTTTAATCTAGAAAAAAAATCTACACTAACATTTTTTATCTTAAACGAAAAACACAATAACACATGTGCCAGGGTGTCGACCAGAGCAGCATAGCTGCAGACAGGTTAAGTCAAGACCCAGCCCCTTCCTAGCTGCTTGGGCCCAACAGC